TACTCTTGGAGTGCCTCAACCAGCTATTTCGGTGCATTTAAAAAGAATTGGGAGGATACAGAAGGAAGGTCGTTGGGTGCCCCATCATCTTACATCAGAAAATAAGTCGACGCTGTGAAATTGCAATGTGCCTACTGACCAGATTCAAACAAAAGGACTTTTTACATAAAATTGTGACTGGAGATGAAAAGAGGATATTTTACGCCAATCCTAAGAGGCGAAAGTCGTGGGTTTTTCCGGGCGAGCCGTCAACTATCACTGCAAAACCGAACATTCACGGGAAAAAATTGTTGTTGTGTATTTGGTGAGATGTCGAAGGTGTAATCTATTATGAGATACTCAAACAGGGGGAAACCGTCACTGCTAAGCGTTATCAGGACCAACTGGTGAAATTGAGTGATGCTATTGAGGAAAAGAGGCAAAGAGTGATGCTATTCTGGACAACGCGCGGCCACACACAGCAAAAGAAACCCTGAAAGTTATCTCCANAGATGTCGAAGGTGTAATCTATTATGAGATACTCAAACAGGGGGAAACCGTCACTGCTAAGCGTTATCAGGACCAACTGGTGAAATTGAGTGATGCTATTGAGGAAAAGAGGCAAAGAGTGATGCTATTCTGGACAACGCGCGGCCACACACAGCAAAAGAAACCCTGAAAGTTATCTCCACGTTGGGCTGGGAAATTCTCCCACATGCGGCGTATTTTCCAGAGCTTGCGCCTTCTGACTATCACCTTTTTCGGGCACTACAACATCACCTGGTCGATACCGAGTTCCAATCTCCTGAAGAAGTCCGGCCGAAAATTAAGTCATACACCTCATATCTTTGAAGATTTTCCCCTATGACTGACTCTTATTTTGAACCCTCAGGCCTGAATCTTGTGACCCTAAGTTTTGACCCCCATTTTTGTAACCCTAAGTTTTGACTCTTATTTCTGAGTCTCATTCTTGTGAGTCTTCTGTTTCACCGTCACACCGGACCCTCATTTTTTTACTGTCAGACTCGACCCTCATGACCCTTAACTTTCATCCTTGTTTCTGACCTTCATTCTTGAACCGTATTTCTGCTGGTAATTCTGACCCTCATTCCCAAAACTCGTGACCCTTCGTTTTGATCTGTATTTTGAACACTTACGCGTAACCTGTGCGACCTTCAGTTTTGTCCCTTGTGGAATTTGTAAAAAATTTATTATTATTATGATTATCATTTTTTCTATTTCTATTATTAGCAGTTGTATATTCAAAATCGTAAATTTGTCAGTTTTTGGTAACTGAAGAATCAATTATTGGAAAGAATGAATAACGAGAAAATTCAGAAAAATTAATAATAATCATTAATCACTAGTCAAATATTCACTAAAATTAATGAATATTAATCAATCAATTAATATTACAACTTCAAATCGATCCATAATTGATATGGACGATACGAATTTTCAATTTTCAGAATCGTGCGTTAGTCTAGTGGTTATAGTTCGTAGGATTAGTATGCGTAGGGTCGTGGATTCAAGCTCATCATAAGTAGAATATTTTGGTTGCAGGTCTAAGTATTAAGGAACCATTATATTACGGTAAAAAATATTACGGGTCAAAATATTACGAGACGAAAAATTATTGAACCGTAATATTACCGTACATAAAGGTACGGAATCAAGGACAAACCTTTATCCACTCGATAAGGAATTCCCCAAAAATCAAATCGATACAATAATAGCCCAACACCAAAAAATATGGCCCGAGGTCAGTTACCATCGATTACTCAACAGGTGTATGAGTCATATTAATCCCCCAAAACAAATAGTATATTTCTAACCTAGGGAGGGAAAATAAAGGATCAAGGCAATTACCGGCCGAGCCGAAGGCGAGGTTGGTAAGCACGCGGCTGAGGGTCCTTTATTTTACTTCTCGTGGTTAGAACGCGATTTTCCGTCTCGGCGTAGGCGCAAAGTCAGGGATATGTAACTTTGCGCCCGCCGGGACGGAAATAAAATTCCCTTAAACATTCACACACAACACCGAAGATTCTTCAACAAAAGGTAGTTATGTCGGAATGCTTGACACGGATGATAAAAAATGATATAAATAACGGAAAATAATAATGAATAACAATGGTGGTAATAATTAGAAAAATAATAACGAATAATAATACAATTTAATTCAATACAACTATCAAAATTCAATAATTTGCAAATGGAATATATATTCATTGAACGATTAAAAAGTAGTAAAAAAAACGTTGTAATGTTACTTCCAATAATAAAAACGACCAATAATAATTAGACCCCTTAACAATTTGGATCGTAATATTATTTACCGTAATATTTTTTTTTTTATATTCCGGCCCTTTCTGCCCTCTGATTGGCTAATCGGCCCTATCCAACCCTATGCATGCGGCTGTAGATTCTACCCTGCACCGCATTCGCACTCCTATAGAACATAGGAGTAGCATGGGAAACCACAGAAAACCCATGCCGGTACAGGCGGTCACTATTTTAGCGACCTCCCGCTCGCCGGAGCCTCCGGTTGAAAAACTCGGTTCCACGGGGAATCGAACTCACAACCTTTCGCACACTAGGCTCGCACCTAGCCGCTTCGGCCACCGACGTCGGTCTTACCATAATATTATGACGTAATATTTTTCACCGTAACATTTAGACCGGATACCGAATATGTTAAGTTATAAAAATCGGATTTTTCGGGGGTATCTGCGGTGCGGGTCATTAATTCGCGAAAAATCATTAATATTAACGCGTGCCATTCCTTTTTTTATTTATTTTTACTAATAATCGTAAATAATTGGGCCTACTACACTCCGTCGATTTTATTCCCCTATTTGATTTACATTTTTCCTCTTAGTAACTTTTTGAGATTTCTAACCGATATGGGAGCAAATGACCAGTTCGATCTAAGATTATCTTTATTGTTTCATAATTGTTCATCCACTTATTTATTCATTCATGTTTCCCTACTACCGGTACGATATACAGGTTCGGCGTGCATACGGGAAGAGTAGTATTGCGTACAGCTGCAGTGTAAATGAGAACGGTATGAAAGCAGCACAGTAACCGTACTGCGTACCAGTACGGTGTACTAGTAAAGTATGGTCACCGTACGCACATACGGGACCAGTACGGTACAGCCACCCATCAGTACGCCGTGAGCTCACAGCACCTGTACCGTACTGGATTTCGGTTATCTGGGCATCTGACAAGGTATAATCACCTCATTATGGCCGTACTGCCAACTATCAATACACCGTGCGCTCACAGTACCGTACCCGATTTTGGCTGTTTGGGATGTTCAATAAAATTCTCTTTATGGGGTTTTCCATGTGAACTCACCCAGGTCAAAACCCTCACCATGGCCAATCATATTGCCGATTTTTCCTGTGGTTGTATATGGAAAAATATGACTTCTCAGATTTTTTCAGATTTTTTAAGGCATCCTGTGGACAGCCATGTTTTTTTGCAAGTTTTATTTTGAAATGCCTGTAACTTCCGTAAAAATCAACCGATTTGAATTTTTTTTTTACAAAATGTGCGTCTTCGAACACACTATCCATATAAAAATATGCTAATTTTTTTCAATTCCTTCTTCCATCGATTTCCTCAGAAAAGCCTCACAAAACTTCAAAAAACGAGTCGTTTTCAAAGTTGGACCCTTTTTATATTTTTCAAAAAATTTCAGTGAATATATTGGACCAAAACAAAATTTTTCACCAAAGGCCAAAGTGGGCTTCCCATTTCGTGGCCGTCATTTCCAATTTGAATATATGAATCCGGGATGAGAAATTTCAAAAATTTCAAAATTCTTTTCGCATTTGAACGCAGAAGCATTATTTGAATTGACCGCCTGAAGAATCACTGCATTATATTCGAATCAGGAACAATTTGATGATTTTTTGAAAATTCGTTAACAATAAATCTTTCCGAGTGGTGTGTTCTAATAGAGACCCCACTTTGGCCTTTGGTGAAAAATTTTATTTTAGTCCAATATATTCACTGAAATTTTTTGAAAAATATAAAAAAAGTCCAACTTTGAAAACGACTCGTTTTTAGAATTTTTTTGAGGTTTTTCTGAGGAAATCGATGGAAGAACGAATTGAAAAAATTGGCATATTTTTATATGGAAAGTGTAGTCGAAGACGCACATTTTGTAAAAAAAAACTCAAATCGGTTGATTTTTACGGAAGTTACAGGCATTTGAAGATAAAACTTGCAAAAAAACATGGCTGCCCACAGGATGCCTCAAAAAATCTGAAAAAATTTGAGAAGTCATATTTTTCCATATACAACCACAGGAAAAATCGGCAATATGATTGGCCATGGTGAGGGTTTTAACCTGGATGAATTCACATGGAATACCCCTTATACACTTTAATAATATCCTCTTCCGTTGTCAAATTGAATAGTCTGACAGTATGCAACGCATAAAAAATGCAGATAACGAAGATCGGGTGTATAAAAAAAAGTAATTGTCAAAATTAATCTAATTTATTAACTGAAAATCATTACTTTGCTGTGTCGGTTATTCCTCTATGCAGCACATTCAATTTTCAGGGTATAGGGACTACGGTCTTCTGTAATTCGGACAATTGACAATTCTAATGAATGGATCACGACGCACTTGATCCCAAACGCAAACATCCTGTACCCCTTCTTGGCGATCATCGGGGGTGAAAAAATCTTAAAGACTGATTTGGAAAGTTGACGGGATTTGCCCCACGCATCCTCAGCTGATCAATCTTTATCAAGTTCTTCCTCTCGGACATATTGATAAGATAATTTATAAATTCATTGATCTAAACTCTTTTTTGGTTCATTGAATATCCGGAAATATGCGTGGAATAATATATAAATCGAATTTACACTTATTCAGTTTCAATATTTTACTAATTTGACAATTCATTCATGAGTTGATGAAACTCAATTACTTTAGGAATTGGATAAGAAAAGGACACATGCAAAATATTCCTGTCTCATATCTGCAGATCTCTTACTCAGATTGTCATCATCTTGAGTCTTGTCTTTTTGCTGTCTCTCTAAGATAATTCGACGTTCTTGTAGAGGTCTACTGGGGATCAGGCCGGCTCTCATGTTTCTATCACCTTCGCGACGGGCCTGCCACCAGTATGCATCGTCTTGGGTGACTATGTGGAGGACATCACCTTTATTGAAGTCTAGTCCTGCCTCTTTGCAGGGAATATGAGGATCCTCTGCTGCTCGGTAGGAAAAGTGAGCCCTCATACGAACCTAAATCAAAGGAATATTTTTTTTTTTTACAGAATTTCATCTACAAGATTGGGCACCGTGAGCTTTCCGGCAGGTCATCAAATGTTCTATAAGAGAATTCCTTGATGGATACCACCAAGCCTATTTCGCAAATATTCAGAAAAGAGTCGGTAAATTGAACAAAGAATAAATGTCATAGGAGTTCAGAAATACATTTGATCCCAGAATTTCCGGTAACTTATTTCGCCATGATGTCTAGAACTAGTAATTTCNGGGGGGGGGGGGGGGGGGGAGGGGGAGCAAAATCAAGAAACCATTTTTGTATTCTCGGAATATTCTGCGAGAAAGTGCTCTTGATCAACTTATCTTCACTTGAGCGTCCCGAAGATAGTCGTTACATAATTTTATTTGTTGATTTCCTTGGTATTTTGAATTTTTTCAATTTACATTAAAAAAAAAAGAATATTGCATACCTTACTTTCCCTCATCCCACCTTTATTATCCGCTGGAATAATTTTGAAGGTGATAGTGCCTTCAGAGTTTTGCTAAAATGAACGAAGCACAAGAATGAAATACTTGCAAATGTCTTCCATGAATTTTTATTGAAACTTCAATCTTACTAGAATTTTAAGAACACAATTCGGAGTTTTTCCCTCGACGCTGATGCCATTCACTTCAACTACTTCATCGCCAACATGAATGAGACCGGATCTGTCGGCAGCACCACCGTGCATCACTCTTGCTATCACGATTTTTCCAGTGACTTCACACAACTTGATCGTCGCCCCCTATTCCCAACGTTAAATTCATATTATCCTTGTGCACAAGCCCCTCATCACAGTTTGTTGTTTTGCATTATACAATAACAATATGGATATTGCTCAAGGATTGGATGAGGATTTATCACAGGATTCTCATCTAGTTACTTTTATTGTACATGCCCACAGGAGAAATATTGAATTGCATAAAATGAAGAAGTAGAAACAAATTACGAGTCAACATAAAGTTTTATTAATGTTGGAACGTACACAACACAGTAATTTCATGCAACAAATAATGAATCAAAAACATAAATCATAATTTAATTTTGTTATATACAAGTGAGAAAAAACAATTATGTTCTTCAAAATAAGATCCTTGACGTTTCCATCAATTTTCATTCTGTAATTGAAATACTCGTATTGATATTACTTTGATTAACATATTAATTGGTTGGAAAGCTTCCATTCGTTTTCTTTGTCATCATGATATTTATTATCGTGTTATTATTATCATTTTCTTTCAATTTTCTTAATATACAGTAGTTAACCCATTGAAAAATTATCTCTCAAGGATCAAAAATAATCGTTTGTGCAACTGAAAGAAGAAAATGGAGATAAACTTACCACAATCGGTTCGACTCCATCACCGCTCTTAAATTTGAGGCAAGTTTTGAATAAAAACAAAAACACGTGATTAATCAGCACGTGAAAGTAATTTAATTGGATTTGCCATTACTTTTTACTTCTTTATTCAAATCTCCCAAGTTATTATGGGTCGTTTCATCATTATCTTTAATGGAATTTGAAAAGAGTCAGAGGATTATTGGGGCAGCGCATGCAGGTACTTTATTATGGAATCTTAACGGACATGAATATCCCAGAACTAAATCATACCACTCCACACATCAGATTCATCTAATTTCAATACTAATTCGAGTTCCAAGGGTCATAAATCTGACCTTGTATTCTCCTCAAGTAACGAATTCACGATCAATATCACGTACCAGTGGTTCGTCTGATTTGACTAGTTGAACTATTTTCACTGTTTCCTCGTCCTCATCCACTTCCGAGGGGATTTCGGATAGACGAGGGTAGTAGTCCTTTTGGGCGACTGCGTCATGTGTACATAAAAGACCCTGAAGAATCAATTTATTCTTAAGTAAAAGAATCAAGTACGAAAAAATAAACGTTAGATTTGAGACTTTCGCAAATATAGACATAACAGTTTAAGCAAATTTTTAAAATCTATGGAACTTCATACAAAGAAAGTCCTTTGATCAATTTTGTCGAACCTCGCTCACAGTTGAACTACGAAACACGCCGCCAACGCCGAAAAGTCCATTTTAGTTGCAAAATGCAAATAATTTATGAAAAAGTTGATTAAAAAATCTGAGAAAAATCAGGATGCATCTTGACCTTTCACAGAATGTCTTCAGGAAAGGAAATTTTTTTAAAAACATTTTTCGATTTGTCAGGAGTCTCCCCTTTTCTCTTTTTTTCATTTTTTAACCAAAATTTGCCATAATTTAACTTATGATTCAGTTATCTTATTGGAATAAGAACAAAAGGTGATTTTTTCTCGTTTTCTCCTCTCCGTTTTCACTCTTTTGACCTTTTTACTCAACTTTCATATTTAACTTATAATTTGTTGATAAACTAAAAAAATTGCTGTTTTTTCAATATATAATCTGACTGGAAAAATTTTGGATCAAGCTCGGCAGCTTTATCCCAAACTTGAATCATTGGGATCAATCTTGCATTTTTTCATATTTTTCTTGGCATTTGTTAACGTAAATTTTTAATAATAAAAGGAAAAATTTTCTGTTTTTGTCATTTTTTCAATGTCTAAAAATTCTTTGATTTTTTTTTAATTTTTTGCTATTTTGATATTTTTTTATATTTTCAATACTTAGTGAGCTATGATTTAGGGAAATGTCGTGGGGCGCGATCTCCCCACTCTCCACATTCTCCGCGTAGCAGAACTTCTGCAAACGTTTCCTTTGCTAATTTCCTCCAAAAATATGAAAAAATTACCAGAAAATTTTTTATTAACAATCACATCCCGAGAGGGTTCAAATAATTTCTGATGATGCATCCGTAGAGAGTTCTGTCTCGTATAATAATCCCAAGGAAACTTAATTTAGACCTGGCGCCTACAAATTTTGACTCTTGTTTAAATTCCAATTGAAAGATGAAAATTTTCATCAATATAATTGTTGGAATATTGCTCCAGCTCCTGGTCCTCATATATATATATATATATATATATATATATATATATATATATATATATATATATATATA